CAGGCCCATTCCCTCACCCCCAATGCTACTTGCGGGCTAGATTAAGATCTCAGCTACTGTCCACCGTCATTCCAGCCTGCATGCCACCATGCTCCCCACCATGACAATCATGCACTCACCCTCTGAAACTGTAAGCAAGCCCCCAATTAAATGTTTTCTTTCATAAATGGCTTTGGTCATGGTGTCTCCTCACAGCAATGAGACAGGAACTAAGCCTGGGGTCAGGAGGCAGGGGAGCTATCTCCATCAGGAAAGGCCTTGCTGCCAAAGCCTGAGGAACTGAGTTCTGATCCCCAGCACCTACATGAAGCATGCTGTGCCTGTGTGTCTGCAGTCGTAGCACTGGGGAAGTGGAGGCAGGCAGACACCTGGAGCTAGCTAGTCAGTGAATGTCAGGTTCAGTGAGAGAGACCCCATCCTAGCTCCTTCTGATGCTGTGATAAGATGCCCTGACAAAAGCAGCCTAAGGGAGAAAGGTGTAAGGGTAAAGCCCATCATGCTGTGGAATTCACACCAGCAGCATGTTGAGAGATCTGGTCACATCACTTTCACAATCAGAAACAGAGCAAAGAATGCCTACGGATGCTTGTTTCCCCTTCTCCACTTGCACAGTCCTGGATCCCAGCCAGGGAATGGTGCCGCCCATGGTGGACAGGTCTTCCCACCCCAGTTAACAGTAATCAAGGAGATCTCCCTAAGCATGTTCAGAGGTCTGTCTTCCAGGTGATCCTGAGTTCTGTCAAAATGACAGACGACACCAGCTATCACAGACTCTGTCTCAAAACAGAGAATGAGGAGGACACACGATGCTGATCTCTGGCCTCCACAAGCATATGCATGTGTACCTGTATGCGTGCCTGTACACACATGTGCACACACATACATGCATACACACATACATACATGCATACATGCATGCATATACACATACAATAGAGGGTTGACGTGCAAGCTGTGACTCTCCCAGAGCTGTTCAATGTGGCTTGGAAACTGAGGCAGCGCAATCACACTGATCCATCAACAGGCTGCTCCCACCTTAAACCAACACAGAGTACTAGTCCATTATGGCACTGCAGCAAATAGCTGATCCAAACAGCTTCAGGGAGCCCCGTTTGTTAGCCCACAGCTCTGTAGATTCAGAGCCAGGGAGAGCTCCCGTCAGTCCTCTGCTGCAGGTCTCACAAAGTGAAAGTCAAGGCTAGGTCATCTGACCGGGCTTTCCTCACAGGCTCTGAACGAGAGTTCACTTCCACACAAGCTGGGGTCACTGCAGAGGTCAGTCCTCAGTGGGTACTGGCCTGAGGTCCCTGCTCCCCTGCTGGCTGTTCGAGGTATGTCCAGAGAGGGGATGTGGAGTCCTTGGACTTTGAGAGTCCTCTGGCCTCCTCTTGTGTCCCAAGTGGAAGAACACTAACCACTTGCAAGTGGGCTGGTGCGGTCTCATAGGCCCACTACGCCCTCCTGCTGTGCCTGCCTGCACACAAGCGGGCATCCTAAGTGCCCGTGTGTGGGTATACGGGAGCACATGTATGCGCTGTGGAAGGCAGTGCTCTGCATCTGTCCTCTGCAGGCTCTGAAGCGGAGGGCGCAATGGTTACTTCCGACAGAGTCTGGAACCCTCTGGAAGACAGACCTCTGAACATGGCAATCACCTCAGTTACTGTCGATTGAGGTGGCAAGACCCGCCCACTGAGGGAAGCACCATTCCCTGGCTAGGATACATGGCGTAACAATCACAGTGTGACAGGCCCTCACGAGGGTGCTGGGCCCGGGGAAAGGGGCTGAGAATTCTGCCGGCACCCACACCACAGATGGCCCAGCTGCTCACAGGGAAGGGATCCGCCCTTGTACAAAGTGGTGTAGGATTTTCAAGTAACCTGAGCACACCTTCCTGTATATTTTACATCATATCCAGGTGACGAGGGTATTTGATACATACTGCGCAATGGTTGTTACAGGTGCTGGGGAGATGGCTCGGTCAGTAAAAGACTTGCCTTGCAAACAGAAAGGCCTGAGTTCAATTCCCAGAATCCACACAAAAAGCCAGGTGTGGTGCTCATGGACAGACTCGGCCACCCAGGGAGACAGAACGTGGTCAAGGGCGGTGTCATGATTTGAGGGAGTAGGTCATTGGCTTTTGGGGTTCCTGGGAGAGATCAGGGCAGGGCTTTCCTATAAAAGACAAGTGGCCTATGGGCATTTCCCTAAGGGAAGCTTTTTGTAGAGAAGGTGGGGTTTCTGTGAGGGATGGTAGAGATATTCCATCTGTAGGAAGGGAAGGAACCAGGAAGGTATGTCAGAAGTGACCTTCACCTTCTTGATCCAGAAGCAACCTCCCCACTCAGGGCTGCTGTTACAGTCACTTATCTCGGGCTGTAAGATAAAAAACAAAAACAAAAACAAAAATGAAACGCCTGACACAGCAATGAAAGGAAGGAGGAAGAAAGAGAAGAAGGAAGGAAAAGAAAGGATGGAAAGAAAGAAGGAAGGAAGGAAGGAAGGGAGGGAGGGAGGGAGGGAGGAAGGAAGGAAAGTAGGAAGGAAGGAAAGAAGGAAGGAAGGAAAGAAGGAAAGAAGGAAAGAAGGAAGGCTTTATTTGGGCCCAGGGTTTCAGAAAGGCACAGTCTGTCGTGATGGGAAAGGCATGGCGGCAGGAACATAAGTTGGCTGGTCACATGACTTCCCCATTGAGATGGGAGCTGTGGGGACTGAGGAGGTGGACTTCTTGGAGCTGGGGTGGTCTCGATGGCTGTCCTAGCAGTGGTCCTCACTTGGGACCCATGCATCTTGCTGTCAGTTTACCCCTATAAGGAGAAGCAGTTACCACAATGAGAACGCTGCCACAGGATGAGTGGCATTGCCTGGTGCCCAGTTAAATAAAGAGACCAAGGCACACGGGAAAGTGACAAGTCACTGACCTGTTCTCTGCCCCCCATCCTTCCATTCCCACCCCAATCCTGTGACCATCAACAGGACAGGCTAGCCTGGATCCCTCCATCACCCCAATATTTGTACATGGTAGGCTTATTGTTCGTAGAATTCCAAGGGACATGGGATGGTTGCTGGAGCTCTGCCCTGCCCCTGAATTCTCATCCCCAACTCAAGACACAGCCCAAGTGTCCTTGTCTGATTCCCCAGGCTGTCACTAGGAGCAGGCTGCCAGCATGCTGCAGGACATAATCAAATGTCTCCTGCTTACCCGCCCAGCCTGCTCTCTCTGGGCCTGGCCCCTCCGTTCTGAAACACCTGCCACCTGGACTTTGGCCTCTAGCAAAATGAAGTCCGGTGACAATCAACTCGGACCCCAGGCGCCTCCAGTGACAGGCGAGTGCTCTGTCATGGAACAAATGTAATAGGTTGATGTTTATCTTGCAGGCTGCGTGTGCTTAATAAAGTATTAATACGGAGAGCAGATTGCTTCTTCCACCGAGCAGGCTGAGTGTGATTGCAGTGGTGCTTCCTGGAGAAGGGAGTCCCAGTGGGCCTGTTTCTTGGTGGAACGAACGCCTCTGTCAAAGGTGACTGCAGAGGACATTTGTCACGGCATTCCCAGCTTGTCAAATCACTGCACATTCCAGAGACTGGGACAGGTGCCCCGACAGGAGGTGCGGGCTGATCTACTTGGGTTGGGAGAAGTTTGGCTGGGCTGGGATAGTGTACCCTCTATGGTGGGCAGTCCACATTTCCAGGCCCAGATGGCTGGCCCTGAGCTTGGGAGACTCTGGCTTTGCCGGAGGACCCCTGACTCACACCCTCACCTTCCTGGGGTCTGCTGCCTCCTTCAGTTTTTGGCCTCTGCCCTGCTGACATTTGGGGTCAGGTGACAGTTGGTTACCTGGGTCTGGCCTGCACCCTCTTAAGATATGTCACCGAATAGATCCCATCCAGATGTCTTTTAAATCATCTCCAAATGTTCCCTTCGGGTCAGAACTCACCCCTGGCTGGGGATTACTCTGCTTCAAGGAACTGCTGTATAAAGAGGAAGGGAGAGACCTCAGCAAACCAGGCACTTCGTGTTGAGAGTCCAACATAGGAGCTGGGCGGAGGGCTCGGTGGTGAGGCACTTGCCAAACAAACAGGAAGGCCTGTGTTTGGCCCTCATGTAAAAGTGGGGTACAGCAGTGTGTGTCTATAACCCCAGTGCTGGAGGGGCAGAGGCAGGCTGATGAACCCCTAGAGATGACTGATGAGGAGGTCTAGCTGAACTGTTTCAAAGGGCTCCAGGTTTAGGGAGAGACTCTGTCTCAAAAACGAGGGTGGAGAGTGATTGAGGAAGACACCAACACTGTCTTTTGGCTTCCGTAAGCACATGCAAGCATGGACATGCACAGTCACCCACAAACACACAATGCACATGTACAAACATGTGTCCATGCAGACACTGCATACTCGTGCACACGTGCGCACACACACACACACACAAACACGGGAGGGGGACCCTGCAAATCAGTACAACAGACCCATTTTTGTTTGGTCACCAGGAAACTCTGGTCACATGAGCTCATTTGGAGCAGATGCAAACCACATCTTTCAGATCACATCTTAAAATAACAGGGTCAAGGAAGCGGAATTGTCACCAGGCAAACTCTTCAAATTTTCAAGCCTTTGGTGCCAGAATGAGGTAATCCCATGCAATGCCAGTTGCTTTTTTGGGAGAAGAAAAAAAAGACAAAAACATTAAAAAAAAAAAAATCCCTTTCTATTGCCCTCAGCTCCCAAGCCCTAGCAATTAATTCTTATATGCTGAAGGACTTCTGTGTTTATGAGGCATTATTATTTAATGGAAGCCTATTTTAAATTGTAATTTTTTTCATTAAATTGTTTCATTTTACTTATTAAGACCAGTTTATATCCTAGCTTAGTCTGTGTTTCTTGAGTAATAACTATTTTTCTTTTAAGATATTCTGTAATAACTTATCATCCATATTTTAAGTTTTATTCCAAGTCGGGGCTGCCTCCCTGTGGCTCACAAGTTTATCCCTGTGGTGATGCAGTGAAGGATGCAGGAGAAGATGGTGGATGAAGGAGAAGGTGGTGGATGCAGGAAGAGGATGAAGGAGAAGGTGGTGGAGGATGCAGGAGAAGGTGATGGATGAAGGAGAAGGAGGAGGATCCGGCCAGGCCCCTCCACAGTCCCTCCATTGGGATTCCCTAGGCAGGAAGCCATTGAGGACAGTGCAGCTTCCGTGGACCCTTCGGATATCCAAGATACCTAATCTGCCCTCCCTGGAGTCTTCAAGTGACAACCCATAAAGCTGTCTCACTAGAAGGAGGACAGAGACACAGGGAGGTCAGGAAGGAAAACCAGCTCCACTGTGGCAACCAAGTCCCTGTGTACCAGGCTCAGGCCTGGGTTGCTCCCCTTTTATCTTTCTGTCTCTCCCTTGCCAACCATAAGAAGCAAAGAGTCCTCCACATAGGACAGAGGTGGAAACGGAGGCGTGAATCCTCCCTCACAGTGACTCATTAGGGGCCATGTGGTCAGCCCGTGGAAGTGAGAAGCTGCCACTGGCTTGTTGCTTTCCCAAATTCACAGACACCCTCTCTGGGCACCAGAAGTCCCTGAGAACAAGCCCACCGAGCACCCACCTCTCCCTTCTCAGCCTCGGTACTTGGCCTGAGAAGGAAGCACCTCAGCGTATTTCTCAGTTGAGACAACTTGCCTCTGACCGTGGCAGGCGAAGGAAGACCAGTCCTGCCTGACCATCGGCGAAAACAGCTGAGTGGTCTCTTCTTTCTTCTCAACTACCTGCAGCCACCCCAAGTCCAGCCTCGTGCGCAGCAGCACCCCAGACTCAGACACCACAGAGCCGAGTAGGTGGCTGAGACAGCTCACGAGTGCCCTCTGTCACATGTACCTCTGACCCTTCCTCCTCACGTGGCCTGAGATGAAGAGATGGTGGTTCTCCTCTGCCCTGGAGGTCATGTGAAAGTTCTGGAAAGCAGGTGGTTTGCGTGAACGAGTCAGACAGGTGCCGGTGGGTAGTCACCATGTGACTCTGAGCCTTGGGGCCTCAGTTTCCCCACACAAATTATAAAAATGTCCTTAGAGGCTGGGGAAGCCAGTGAGGAGGAGATTTGTTTATTCACCTGCTTGCTTATTTCCTCCTCCTGCCCACCAAGAACCTACTGAACACCTACTGTGTGCACTGTTAGTAGAAGTCAGAATGTGTCTGTGCGGTGGCCACTTCCTCCCATTCAACATTCTGGTCCTTTCCATCCTTGTGGTAATAGAGAGAGGGCCTTATGGGACTGCACGTTCTCAGACACAGGCCTGCGGGCTGCATTGCCCTGACTAGGATGTGGTCCCATGGTCGGGCCAAACTGCAAAGGAGGTTGGGAAGGATTCCTGGCTGAGTACTGGTGTGTTGCATGTATGTGTGTATGTGTTGTGGGGGTGTGCCCACGGGCACAGACACATGGCAGTCTGTGTGGGTTAGGAAGAAACATGTGTGCCACAGAGTAGGCATCACATACAAGAGACGGTTTAGGATCCCAACATAAACTTGTGTTAGAGTCTGGCATGGGCATAAAGCCACAGGGTCTGGATGGGGCGAAGGGTGGCAGCTGCAGCCCGCAGGCATACACACCTGTGGTCCTGTGAAGAGTTTCCCCAGGCATCACCTTTCCTCACAGACACCTCAAAGGCAAGAGGATGGATTGAGCAAGTCCCACCTCCTCCGGCCCCAGTGTCTCCAATTCGTAAAATGGGAAGGGAAGTCCCTTGCTTTGGCTCCTGTGGGGAGATGCAGGAGCCTCAGGTGTCTGCAAACAGCCCCAGGGCCTCCTTATTAATAGTATAAGTACGTCATTATCAATAATGAAGCACAAATTAATAATAAATAAACAAACTAATGATAAATAATACATACAGCATGAATAATACATTAATACACCCAGGCTTCCAAACATCTATTGCTTTGACGAGGGGGGCTTGATGAGCTGGCTGGAGATCACAGGTTTGGGGTTCTGGAGAGGAGGCAGAATGAAGGAGGCAGATCCAGGGCATCAAGCATGTTCTTGTAACACTGAAATTGCTTTGGTCCTAGGGGCCCAGGGCCGAACTGAACTTCTATTGGGACATCACGGACCAGGAGTCTACTGGGGTGGGATGTACCTTCTCTTCTGATTGTTCTTGCCTAAAACAAAGTTGGGGTGGTAAATACAGTGCCCAAAAGGACCGGGATGTGGCTCAGCTGGTAGAACACTTGCTTGGCATGCCTGAAGTTCTGGGTTCAATTCCTAGCTTTGTATAAGCCAGGCCCTAGTGGTTCAAGTCCATAATGTCAGCACTTGGAAGATAAAGGCAGGAGCATAACAAGTTCAAGGTCAACTTCAGCTCCATAGTGAGTCTGACCTGGACCTGGGTAGGGGAGGAGCAAATTGAAAAGAAACAAACAAACAAACAAACAACAACAACAAAACATTAGGCCTTAACAGAATCAGATAGTGAGGACTGGGCTTGTCATCGAGGGTGCCTATAGAATGTTTTTTGTTCGTCTGTGGTTTCATCTATTTGGAGATAGAATATCACTATGTAGCCCGGGCTGGCCTTGAACTCACAACCCTACTGGCCCCACCTCCAGAGTGCTGGGATTACAGATGTGTACCACCATGCCCTGCCCATCTGTCTTGAGTTAGCCAGTAGCTCCAAAGCCCTATGGCACAATAGGGTCATGCACTTGGCCTTGTGGCAACGACCAGTTGGCTATGGCAGAGAGGGTGGCTGGCAGGAAAGGGTGTGGCCATGCTGTGCCCTGGGGTCATGGTAGATGCTGTGGGAAGGCCCTTGACCCAGATTTAAAAGGCTCTGCCCAAGATGAAACTGTGACGTGTGTCAGGGTAGCCCTAGGGCAAAGAGTGACATGAATGGGATGGGAAAAAAAATGTTTTTCCAGACAGAGGGAATGGCAGGCACAGAGATCTATTCACTGATGGAAGCCTGCTCTATCTGGGGAGGTCTAAGTAACTCAGAGTGGCCAAGGCTCAGAATTCAAAGGGTAGAGAGGCTGGCGCTGGGCTGAAGATGAGGCAGACACCTCAGCTGAGTTTTCCTGGGGCCGAGGCTTCACCTCCTGATCGATGGAAAATCAAAGCGTGGAACCCTGCCAGTTCACCAGCTGTTCTCAGCCATGCAGGTCGTGAAGGCCCATGCACACTGTGTGTGTGTGGGGGGGGGGGGGGGGGTCAGGGGACTCTCCAACATGACACTGGTACAGCCACTACATGCCCACATCACCCAGGAAGCTGGAGGCGTCTGAGGATTGGGAGTCAATGGTGTAAGCAGTGGAATTTGGGCAGGAGCCTGTGGAGACGCCCAGCGGGCTACTGGGAGCTCCTAGGAGAGAACAGCCATCTGGCGTGAACACAATCGAGGAGAGCAAGATGCTGAACCTGGATATTCATGACTGGACCCACATAGCTGAGCTCATGGAAGGAAACCCCACAAGAGGAAGAAGAACGAGGTGGATGCGGAGGCTTGGGAGAACTCCTGGAGGGGGCTTCAGGGCTGCAAATGCTGGAAATGAGTGACACTGAACGAGTCGGAGGGGCTGGGAGCTCATCAGGGACCCAGTTGGCCTTGACAGATTCTAAACTTGATCCTGAATTGGAAAGCAATGGGGCGGGGAAATTGAATGACATTAACCAGAGTCGGGGCATCAGTATTTGCATTTTAGAACTATCCGAAGTGAGTGAGATTAACAAATCTGCAGGTTGCAGAGCAGAAATCTGCATTGCGGGGGGGAGGGGAGGAGGTTCCTGGGGAGCAGTGTTCCCAAGCTGAGGCAGGATGGGGCAGAGGAGCGTGAGAGGCCGTTTTGCCCCATCCATCCCTGACACTGAGGAGCTGGTGGCTTTTACGCTGGGTGGTTCTCTTTCTTACAGGCAGGTGATCAAGGGCCCTTCCGAGACCCCCGGAAGGGCGTATATCTCAGACCCCCATGAACCTGCCTGTAAGGTGTGCTTGCAGTAATTGGTTTCCTGTAATAATATTTATTACGACAGTAATTACACAGTGCAAGAGCCTGGGGAGGCTGTCGGTGGCTCTGCAATATGATCTTTCTCTTCATGAGACAGGGGTGACCTCATTTCCTCATGAGTGGTAATGCATAGAGCTCTCTTGCTGCCATGTGCAGATAAATCCCAGACCCTCAGCAGGGGAAGGGGCCTGTGGCCTTGATTCCCATGGTCCATGCCCCGCCAGCCTTTAACCCAGGAGGTGGAAATCCAAGGACCGCCAGCCACACGTCCCCTTAGTTTGAGTCACAGCATGATCCATCCATACCCAGAGACTGGGACTCTGAGCTGTGTGCATCACCCTGTAGTCATTCACCCAGAACAGAGCTGAGAGTTTCCCTGAACACCAAGAACCCCTCATCTGGTGGCAAAACACAGCCCCTGCCCTAAGGTGGAGACAGACTGCTCAAGCTCGTTTCTTCCTATACTGGCTTCCTTGGTATCAAGGAGTGATGGTTTAGGTGTGAATGTTCCCATAGGCTCATGTTTGGGGCGTGAGTGTTCCCACAGGCTTGGGTGTCTAAATACGTGGTCTCCAGTGAATGGCACCATTTAGGAAAGTTGTGAGCCGGAGGTGGAATCTCACTGGGGGAGTGAATTTTCGAGGACAGACACTGAAGTATGATACCCCAGGCCCACTTCCTGCTCTCTCTCTCTGCTTCCTCAATATGACAGGCTGAATGAGAATGTCTCCTACAGGCTTCCGTGGTCCCCTCCTTCTTTGGGGGCCCTGCCTGGAGAGGGCCTTGCTTAGGAAAGTACGTCACCTGGGATGTCATTTGAGAGTTTGAAGGTTGGAGCCAATTCCAATTTGCTCTCTCTGATTCATGCTTGTGTCTCAAGATGTGGGCCCTCGGCAACCCGCTCCAGCCGCCAAGCCCAGCACCGGCTGTCATGCTTCCCAGCCAGGATGGACTCTCAGACTCTGGAACCTAGGCCCCAGTAAACTCGTTCTTCTAAAAGCTGCCCTGGGCTTTTATCAGAAAATGACGAATACGTCCGCTGTGGACACACTGCTCCCGCCTGTTAATACGCACTGTTGCCCCCTGCCTGGAGCTCCTACCCGG